TCACCTTTTGTGGATTCTCTATTGTGCATAAAGGAAAGCGAGCAAGCCGGTGGAGGATATGGGTTGGTGCACCCACGTCTAAAATTGAGCAGGAGAAAAAATGGAGGAGGCTAATTAACATATTAACGACCCCCACCTTCTTACAGCTTCTGTCGGCTGGTCCCAACACACATTGATAAGTATGCAAATGAGAACTGTGCCATCTGAAGAGGGAATTAGCAGTACCGGAGACAACCGGCGAAGATGTGAGGGGTACTGTGGAAGAGGAAGGAAGGAAGGAAAGAAGGAAGGAAGGAAGGAAGGAAGGAAGGAAGGAAGGAAGGGAGGGAGAATGCACAAAAAAACCTTCACTCTTGTTATCTGCTGCTCCTCCTTGGATCAATACGCCAGCAAGTCCTGCAGTGACATGCAGAGTGGCCACAGGAGCTCGGGGCAGTGGGCATGCAGGCAGAGGTGGGTGGCATTGGGCGGTGACCCGGAGCGGACGAGTACAAGTAATTATAACTCAGACTGATCGCTCTCCTGTTGTGTGCGTAATACAGATGAGGGACAGCAGGTGTTCTCAATGGTGAAACAAAAGAGAATGAGAGAGAGAGAGAACATGACCTGTATAAATATTTGGAATGTCTGTGTGTGTGCATCCGTGCACGTCTCTGTGCGTGTGTTGGAGGGGACACCTTGCAGACTAGGGTTTCGCTGACACCTTCATCACATTCCACAATTATGTTGAATAATTAAAATGTTTCATTAACTTGATTATTTCCTGTTGGCCCGTGTTTCAGCCCTGACATCAGCAATTAAAGCCCGGCTGAGGTCTACGTGACTTCCTCACCCGCTCGGTTTGCGACTGAGGACAACTGTATGTCTTTTGTGTGGAAGCTCAAATCTGACAGGGTAAAAAATGAGGGCTTAGCTGAGCTGCTCTTACGTAGCACACACCGGGACTGACGAAGACGTCTTGTATAAAGATCACTGCAAACTCTACAATAAATAATACTGTACTGCTCTTACCACATTCAACCCCCAATTCCAATGAGGTTGCGATGTTGTGGAATGTATGAATAAAAACAGAAAACGATTTGAAAACCTTTTTAACCTTCAATTGAATATACTACAAAGAAAATATTTCATGTTCAAACTCTTAAATGTTTTTGTTTTCCAAATATTCCGTCGTTTTGAATTTGATATCTGCAAATAAATAAATGAATACATAAATCTGGGATAGTGGAATGTTTACAACTGTGCAAAATCATGTTTCGTTTTAACACTCAATAAGAGTTTGGGAACCACGGACTTCAGCTGTTCCACAATCCGGGGTCTCTCGTCGTATTTCGTGCTTCATAATGTGGCAGATATTTTCAATGGGAGACGGGTCTGAACTGCTGGCAGGCCAATCTAGTACTCAAAAGTCTTTTACTACAAAGCCACGTTGTTGTAATGTGCAGAATGTGGCTAGGCGCATTACTGGTGGCCTCACAAATGTGCAACTTGCCCATGCCACGCATGCTAACATGATACCCCATTCTATTACAGATGCTGGCTTTTGAATTTTCCCTGAGCATAATGGTCCTCTTCCTCTTTGACCCAATGATTTCCAAATACAATTTGAAATTTGGACTCATCAGACCACAACACACTTTTCCACTTTAGTCCACCCCCGATAAGCTCAGGCCCATCGAAGCCTGAAATGTTTCTGGGTGTTTCTGATGTATGGCTTTCACTTTACACTGTTGAGTTTTAACTCGCATTTTAAATGTAGCAACACACAATGATGCCGGTTTTCAATGCAGTTTTTATTTTAACATTCCTCCTTTCCCAGCCTTACGTTATCCCTGTTTCAGCTTTTTTTTTTTTGGAATGTGCTGCTGGCATCGAATTAATAACGTTGGTGAATCTGAACATTAAATCCGAACACAAAACACAAACACAAGTGGTCAGTTTTGGCTGTTTGTTGTATGCAGTGCAGTTTTTTTTTGTTTGTTTGTTTTACCATTAAGCCAGTCAAAATATAGTTTCAAAGCAGACATTGATGATAAATCCTGTGCTTTGTATGAAAGTGATACTCTGAGAGCTCTACTCGCCAACATCTAACAAAACAAAAATATCTTCGGAAATCTTGGTCTCTGTTCCAAATCAGGGGAATTCTTCTCAGAGCATTAACACTATAATTAGCAAAAGCTGGCCTAGTTACATAAGATGCCTCTTTTTGTCTTTTGAAATTGGATTAGCAAAGGAGAAACCATTTCTTTTCAAAGAGGGGTGTGTGTGCGTGTGTGTGTGTGTGTGTGTGTGTGTGTGTGTGTGTGTGTGTGTGTGTGTGTGTGTGTGTGTGTGTGTATTGGGTGGCAGCGGTCGTGTGGAATTATCTTCCCAGTGCATCTAATAGAGGCTGGGACAAATGCTGTCCTTCTCGAGTGAGCTCATACACACTCCTTATATTCCCCCAATAAACGTGATTAGCATGATAGACTGTAAATATGCAAATGACCAGCAGTGGAGGGGAATCGGGAGCAAGCCCCTCTCCCTCTCTGTGCACCCCCATGAAAGCCATGATGGGGTTTATTCAGATGGTGTCTCTGTTCAATATATCTATCTATTATATATATATATATGCCACCATACACGTACAGTCTAAACAACTTCACATTGAGATGCAGTTCTATGACCAAAATATTGCCTATTGAATTCACTCACCCAGTCATGTTCTATTTTTTTTTTTATTTTTTGCAAAATCTGAACACTGTCTCTCCAGTCTAGGAGCAACAGTCTCTGTGAGCCAACCTAGGAAGTTCTCTCGAAAGTCAAACTTATTCATCCTGGGAACGATCAGCTCTATGGAGCGAGGGGCCATTGAGCCACATTATTGACATTATAGACGGCTCAGCGTGGAGATAGGTCTCACATCGATCCCCTGATTAATTACTATCTGCAGGCAGCAGGAGCGTGAGGAAGGGATACGTGAGGGAGGAGCGACTGCCTTAAAATAGGGAAGGGATGGATGGAGCGTATAGGGGAAGAAGGATTGGGGAGAGAGGAGGGAGGGTACACCTATACTATCTACGGATATCAGCTAAAGGCAACAAAGTACTAATCTTGCAGGTGCAATATTATTTATTGATATCAATAGGCGGAAACCCTTATCTTTGCTGCAGCCTCCTGACACATAGCCAAGGACAAATGAGAATTTCACATATTGGTGGGGTGCAAACATATCCCAAAGACAAGTAGAGGACACTGAAATAGTAACTATGGTATTCTGTAGCAAATTATTTTTTGTACTGTGTAATTAACACAGGGAAATGATATCATGATGTGAATATATAGACACACACACACACAGTATGTTAAAATAAGACATACTACATTACTACATACATTAATTATGCCCTCTCGGACTAACATGACTGCGGAAACTGGGACTTGCGTGGCTTTGCAGGCTGAGTGACGATCATTAATGAACTATACACATCCTTTGGGCTGCATGCCTCATTCTCCCAAGAGAATGTGCAGCACTTTGTGGAACATGAGCGAATAAACTGTGACAAGGGCTCTGTTGAAGCACTTTAAGTGGTAGGTACATTGAAATGGAAAGTATTGAGCAAATCGGCAGGCTCGATTTACGATGAGAAACAATATAGAGTACTAGTAAATATAAATTGACATGTTAAATGTCCAGTTTCTTGTTGAACTAAAACTGCGAATCTGAAAATTAAAAAAAACTGATGGGCAAAGCGCAGACAGAAGCGGGTTTATGTCTGCCACCGAAATCGTGACTAACCGGGTCAGTACGAGACGAACCTCCTCAGTCCTTCATTGACAGACTTGATGGAAACCCGCCCCAACTGCATTTGTCAGCTTTGACCTATATTAGATAACATAGCCTGCCAAGTTTTTTTTCGGAAAAAGTAAATAATAATAATGAGAAATCTTGCGTTTGGTCTGGCTGCACCATTATAGATCATGGACTTACAGTATTTAGCGGCAACAGAAACACCAAAGCGCTTTCAATAACGATAACGGAGTGACAGACTGACAATGTCGGACTGGCGAACCGGTGAAATTTACTGACGGTCCTAAAATAGTGGTGACGAAGTGTAATTTAGTGGTGACGAAAGTGCGATTCAAATAATGAAGACAGACTGAGGAGTAACAGACTGATGATGACAATTTTAGTTTGATTTAAAATCATGACGGACTGACGGACGGTTGGCCTGGCCGTGTACGAATGACAACTGACAGACCAGCAAAAAAAAAAAAAAAACCCAAACAAGTAAATAGATGCCTTTGCATGGACGCCTGCGCAGAAATTGTGAAGTACCAGGCTGTTAATATAGACCATAAGTAGCTGCCGTAGCGAAGGCAGATGGCAGACACTATCTCCTTGTCAGTTTTAAAAATGTTAAAGTAACTGACAGTGACAAAGAAAACCTTGAAATTCCAGATAAAGTGAAAACATTGAACCTTCCATCCACCCAACTCACACAAGGAGTCCTTTAAGAATGTGGGCTTCAGAAAAAGTTGCGCTGCATGGATAAGGAACTGATAATTGGATCATTTTTAATATTATCAATTGCATGAGACAGAATAGCATCATTAAAGTTGTTGACTTTATAACATTAAAAGTGGAGAATCCCTCTTCCTAAATATTTCATACGGTGGAATTGTATTAATGGGACAGTTTTAAGAAGAGTAGCATTGCTCGGTTTGGTCTGTGATGTTTAAGATGCCCAAAGGCCAAGGTGCAAGACGCAGTAGGAATGATTCTCACTGGCAGAACTACTCAAAACAGATTTTAATGTAAATTGCTTGCTGCTAAAACAATTGATGATGAACAATGAACTAAATGCCTTCTAGTGTTTCCACTCAGCACGAACACAAGATGAGGCTTGGCTTTGTGTGATGTGTTTGATGTTAGAGCAGGTGTTTTACTCTGTGGTTGCTTTCTGTGTGCGTGTCTGTATCAGCTTGGAGTAGAGAATATTATTTTAAATTCCACTGACCTGAAAAGCTGCGTTAATGCTGGATCCACAGGCACTGAGAGGGCAAAAGAGAAATATCAGTTAAGAACCAAGAAATGTCCGTTTCCTTCTTCTCTCTGACAGAAAAAGAGACGTGCTGTGTATTATATGAATGGGACTTTTCATCCGCGTTACTTAACAATGAAATGAGTCATTGAACAGGTGTTGTATTAACTATTAAAAATAACAAAAAAAACATCCTTAGAGTGTTTCACTGGTTGAAATAATACAGCACAAACAGGCGAGGGCTTTTCTTTCTTTCAATTAATCATCGTAATGAAAAATGTAAATTTGGCGTCTCCAAGATCATGTTAAAGTCTCGAGCAAGGCGCTGTCTGATTCGATATGGACACGGGGTAGACTTCGTTTTTGTATTCTTGCAGACACCTGCAAATGGGCACAGGAGAAATGGGCATTTTGCGCTGTTGTGGGCGTGTACACAGTCGCTGCCATTCGAGGCGGATCCTCTCGTGCTGTTTAAATGCAACGTGCCAGGGGCGCGCTGCATGTCTTTGACATGGTGGAAGAAGAAAGTGATTTGCTTGAGTTCTGTGGCTGGTTGAGGCCACCAAAATATGCTTATAAGGAACTGCAAGCAGACCTCCATGAGTAGATCATGTAATGTTGGCTAGGGAGAGCACAGATTTGTACAGTAGACATTAGGAGAGTGCCTTCCATCCCAACACTCCTTCCCCTCAAGATGTGCCGCGGCCAGTGGGATGATTTTCTAAATATATAATATAGATGGCGGTGGGATGATCTTCTAAATATATAATATAGATGGCAATAATAATAATAGTATGTTCCGTGTATTGATTTCTTCTATGATTGACAGCTCAGAGTCTCTCTGCCTCGACCACACCTGCCTGATCCAACTTACCAAAATGGCATTAGAAAAGTGATCCACCTTGTGCCAATAGTGAGATATGATTCCAGCAGGTGGAAAGCTTAAATGACTTTGTGCCCACAAAATGTCAGATGCACCATGCTTATTTCAAAAGAAAAGCCCTCGGCACGCCAAAACTCCCACAATGGCACAGAGAGATGAACCAAGATCCAAAAGAGGTGAAACAAGGCTTGCACTAGCATGAAAATCATGATGCACCTAAATTTTAAAAACACCTTCCATTTTTGGACTCTGACAATCACACCTGTCAACTTAAATGGAAACATATATCAAACTGTATGAATGAGCTTAGATAAATAGAAATGAAAAAACACACAGCTAAGCCACAGCAGGCTGATATTGAAACAGTGGCTCTACAATTGATTTTATACAAATGTCGTGTTCATTTATGATGGCTGTCACCATGCTCACCAATACTGGTTGAAGGTGTTGTTTGTCAAAATGCCACTTTTTACAATTCTGCGCTTGTCATTAGAAAAAGTCCGAAAAATGTCGGTCTTTGTATAGGCATGCCATCAATTTTATGACTATCGGCCTTGCAGCAATGTCGCATGACACTGAACCGATTTATTGTAATTAACTGATGGCGATTGTATCATTAGGAGACATTATTTTGGACATGCAGATGTTCTCGAACAGTTTTACCTCCTCAGACTGACAAGATAAGGCGACTCACGGCTTAATCAAACCCGAGATCATGATGTGCCCACAACTGCCACCATTTAAGTGATTGATCCATTTAGTGTCAGGACAAGGATCAGCCCTTCATTTCTTATTCGGTCAAGAATGTTTGATAGTTTATCCAGTCGAAAGACCTAAAGGTCTAAACCACATGAGTCCTGTCATTTTAGCATGGCCTCGCCTTTGTAGTCTGCATGGCCTTTCCGCCACAGTACTGGATGTGAGTTTCTATGATTGGAGAACCACAGCAGATTCTGGATATTCTCACACTGAAGTTTTGCTGCAGTTTTCCAAAACTTTTTATTTTATCCAGTTGTTGTAATGACTAGAAATACTAAAACATGTGAGTAGAGCCACAAGTTGCTTTCTACTCTTTATAGTGTTCCACACTTAATTTTATTGTGCTGTGCATTATTTTATCTGAAATAGAGATGTATAAAGTGTAAGTTTGTGTGGGCTAGATTAGAAAGAAGCATAGACAGGGTACGCGCTGACACGAGAAAGTGAAGTGTGACAGTGTGTGAGATGTGCACTGGTGTGTACAATATATATGTGCGAGTGTGTTTTGGGGGAAGTGAAGGTCACCCTGAATGGCTGTGTGTATCGGCGCGAATACCTTTGGAGCGTGTGCGGTGGCGCTTATCGTCTGCATCCACCTCCATCTGCAGGGAAGGCACAAACAAGCTGTTAAGCGCTGGCTGCAGACAGCGTCACTAAATTATCTTTAATTTAGATACACGTTCTTTCGGGTTCCCGGTGCTATCGTCCACTTGTCAAACATGCCCTGTATCTGACGCTGGCGGAGAAATGGAGGGCTGACTGACTGACTCACTGACGGCACTTGTGGGGGGGGGAAATATTTTGTTATCAAATCTGTATTGTCTTTCATCACAGTTACCCACACAATGAATTCCAGTCGGTGGTTCATTACTACAAATAGAATATCATGAGAGACCTCAATTTACCCCACATGAGATCTGCGTGTGTGCTTCGCCTTTTCCTTCGGCTTGGGGATTTTTTTACGACAAATTCCAATATCAGCATCACTATCACTTAAGGTTATTAACTCATTTCACAGTGCCCTCCCAGAATTTGACTCATCAGAGGTGTAATGGAAGGCATTTATCCTCTGTGCCTTTGCGACAAAACTCATGCGTATGTGCGTAGTGTGCATGCGGCTTCACGCATTCGCATAATTAGATGCGTGGTGACATCAGCGCCAATGTCTGAAGTGCTTTCGACACAAAGGGCCGTGGGATGCGAGTGTCGGGTGTCAAATTTCACACTGTGATCGCGGCTTCATGCTGGATGCCTCTGATGCGACATCGGACTCTGGCGAGCTGACTTCTTCTTGCATTTTCCATTCCAGCCATTCCATTTATACAATTGATCATCCATCCATTACATTATATCAATTCGTACATGTGACCGTTGCATCCATAAATGTATCCACCTGTTACAGTAAATCCACACATGGTGATGCTCATTCAATTACAATCTATGTGCCCATCCATGGGTCCATTAAATCCAATGTCAATTCATCAATGCACTTAGTCTAAAACCTTGTACTCATATTATACGTTTTTTTTTTTAAACATATTTCCACTCAGGTCAGCATATGATCACTTTCAAACACTCCTCCAGGCTTGTTAGCGCGAAGCTAGATCTGCGTCAGTATCATCAACTCTCTTCCTTCTCTACAACACGTCGCTTGTTCAGGCGTCTGGAGACCTCTGAACTATTTTTTTAGATGTGCCTAAATATTCATGCAGGCTGGGTTTAGACATTGACGGGGGCCATGACCCTGTTTGGATGTCTCTTTTTATTAAACAGGATTTATCGATATGACACTTAAGCCACTGTCGAGCCCTTCAGTCTTAATGGTGTGTTTCTTTATGAATGTCCATAAATGTTTCAAGAGAGGGAAAATAAAATGATGAAAGGCAGAGATACCTTGTAAATATTAGCAAGTAAGCTGGGATGGAATGACCTTAAGTCTTGGTGAGGGAGGATGAGAACATAAATATGTCTGTGGTCAAATGACAGACAATGATGAGCAACTGCCCGGCTAGCAAATTATTCCATATTTTGCCGCCTACATGTTTGAAAATTATGATGACCTTGGCTCCACTCTGAGCAGGTGCGCCACTGCTCTATGGCCTTGCAGAAGTTTAGATATTTTACAACACATTTTAAAAGAGACTCCAAAACAATAAATTGGTCACATGCAAGGTTTCAACCAATTGCATGTATTTAGTTATTCATAATAGTAGTCCCATTTTTTAATGTTTGACTGTTATTATTCACGCTTTTATACCATTTTGGTAACCTTGCATTTAGTTGTCAGAATTGTTATTTTCCGATGCTGCCAGACATAGATAGTGATGCTTGCTCATCCTAAGGCATGCATACTTGATTTGCTAACATCTAATTAAAGCCCCTGTAATGTGACCACAAAAATATGTCTTGTAAATTTGACATACCACAAGAGTATTATGAACAAGTCTGACAAATATGAATGAATAAAACAATCAGATATAAAATGGGTCCAAAACCATAAAATATAGAGCCTGCCTTGCAGCTGACCTTCAGCTGTCAATCAAAATGTGCCTGCTCCATGCCCTCCCACTTCTTTCCGACCGATGCACACGCTCTCATGGGCCATCTTCTGAGCCCTGGTGGGCGGGCCGGTACAATTTTCCCCTCCTTTGCCTCTGTTGAAATTCAGGAGGCCATTGGCAGAATTGCAGCTGACCGTGGTGCACTGTGAAGTGGCCACAACAGCGCAGCGATGCACCAATCCCCCAGCCAGCGAGCACTCTGATGAGGTGGCTGAGCCATCCGCTGCTTCAATGTGTGCACCGCGCTTACATGTGGCAGAGAAACGGTAGCCCAGAAAACACATAAAAATGCAGGGAAGAGGTACTTTTTCATGTTGTTGTTATTGCCTGATGCACACTGTGGAGATAGAAATGGGCCATGGTATTTTCACAAAGGAAGGAAGAAGATGCTCAGTACTTATAGAGTGGGTTAGGGCTGAGTCCTCCCAGGGGCCCAAGTGTGTCCCTGGGCCCCGTTTTAACCATGCCCCAAAAATCCGGACAACTGCGAGTTGAAAAAGGAAAATACTATCAAGGGGAAGTTCAGTCAAGTCAATAGCACACCAAACACAAGTCTAGCGCAAACTGTGCGCATGGATGACTTTTCATTCTTTTGATATTTTTCTTGACTTTGCACAGGTATAATTGGGCATGACTGGGTGTTTGCACCCGTGTTTACAGTGAGCACAGTCTACTTTCTGTTACCAACTTTTAGGGTGAGTCAGGGGCTAGTCAACACTGTCGGCCGGAACGCCCGGAGAGGCACAGCACAGCCTCAAAAATGGTAGACTAGACTTGTGCCGGCACGAAATTGAAGTTAAGCCTGTTTATATTGCGAGCACATGGGCACGAGTCTGTCAAAATAGTGCCCAATATGTTTGATGCGCCCCCCACCAGCTTAAACACACTATTCTAATTAATGCTGCGTTGGTGACATATGGATTAAGTAGAAAAATATACCAGTTTTTATCCACCCCAAGCAGTAGCCATTTTGCCACTTGAAATTGACTGAAAATGACATCACAGTGCCTAGCGGCTCAGACAACGTCCAATCACGGCTCACGTGCTTTCTGCATTTGGTCATGTGACATTTGCAAGTTGAACTATCAGTCATTGTGATGTCATTTTCAGTCCACAGCAAGTTTCATTACAAGGTAAAATAATGAGTGTGATTAATTCAATCACTTCCGATGTAATTTTGTCCTTGAGGTGCTCTCCTAAATGTTCCATGGTGAGAACCTACAGCATGACCAAAGGCAAAAAACCTACTTATAAAATACAACGGTCTGATACATTTCTAAACCTGTTGCCAACTGCACGTAGAATCTGTTAGAGTGTGTGACTGTGCAGTTTAGCCAAGCGCAATTCTTGGGATGTTAGTTGTAAAGATCGCAATCTTAGTCAATCACTCACAACGTGCCCATCAACAGAGCACGCTCTGTGTTCGAGTGAACATACAATTTAGCACCTGCTCTTGGGATCTTAGTCAGTGTAGTTCAACAAATAGTGTGCTTTCAAGCAAATCTTCTGCAACATGACGAGCATTCAAAAATAAATAAATGAATTATAATAGTAACTATTATAATTGCAGTGGCTCATGTGGCTACCACGTCATCCTCACAATTTGCATTTTCACCCTGAGTTTACCTGGGATTTCTTTTCGTACTCTGGCTTCCTCTCACAGGCACTCATAAACCAACCATGTTAATTAACCCTGTCAGGGCCAGCGGTTACTACAATGGACAGCTTATCATGTTATCAGGTTACAGGGTGCATGAAAGGGTTAAAGAGTGGTAATTGTCCATGCGCGTGGAAATTGTTCGTATATATGTGCCCTGTGATTGACTGGTCACTAGTTCAGAGTGTATCCAGCATCTCAAAATCAAAATCATCAAAATGCATGGCTGGATGGATGACCTGACAGCTCTCCCAAAGTTAAAAGGTTTTGCGAAACACTTGCTACTCCACATGGGTTCCAATTAGTGTGTGGTTTCTAATATATGTATTTAGGTTTGGTGGAAATGTGTGTGTGTGTGTGGGGGGGGGGGGGGGGGGGAGAGAACAAAAGGGGACATACAGAAATTTGATACTTTTAAAAATCTGAGGCCGCAGTTCAAAACTAGGCTTGCGCCACCAATGAGCATATGAATTATGTTTCTTAATATTAACGGAGGGTGGCCCAGTGGTCGAGTGGTTAGCACGTCGACCTCACAGTGCAGAGGTACGGGGTTCAACTTCAGCTCCGGCCTTCCTGTGTGGAGTTTGCATGTTCTCTCTGTGTCTGCGTGGTTTTTCTCCGGGTACTCCGGTTTCCTCCCACATTCCAAAAACATGCATGGCAGACTGATTGAACATGAAAAAATTGTCCCTAGGTGTGTGTGTGTGTGTGAGCGCGGATGGTTGGTCATCTGTGTTTGCCTTGCGATTTGCTGGCAACCGGTTCAGGGTGTCCCCCGCCGACTGCCCGAAGACAGCTGCTACAGCACACCCGCAACCCTTGCGAGGATAAGCGGATTAGAAAATGAATGGATGGATAATATTAACGTAGTTAAAACAGTCGTAACAATCTTGTCGGCAAGAGTAGCTTTTGCCTCTCTCAAGGCTCCTCATGTTGGACCCGAGACGCATGCTTGCCTCTCTGGCACATGTTGGAGAACCTTCCATAATGTGTTATGTTCTTTCTGAATCTCTCTGCATTCTTGAAGAAAACGAAGGTTGGTCTACCATTTTGAAGATGACGAGGAAGTACACTCCATCTTTTCGAGTGCCAATTACATTTTGAATAAAAGGCAGTGATGAAACTTTTTTTTAATGCACTTCAAGTTAGAGCCTTGCTTTAGCCTTGGAAGCCAAGAGAGTGAAACGAAATCAAGGGCACATTCAATTTCATTTTTTAACAGTTGATCTTCTGATATATAATTTATTCGTTATCAACAGTTGAATACTTGAATAAGTTGAGTTTTGCTCAGCTAATTCAAAGGAAGGTGACGTCTTAAAGCTTCTACTAACAACACGTGAACTATTCAGACTTTGATTAATATAAACAGAATTTTAACGAGTTGAAAAATGGGCATAAAGCTTTCATAATACAAATGAAATGAGCTTTTTATGAACAAAATGAATTATATTACCACGACTGAAACATGGTCAGAAACACAGACTCCAAGACAGGACCGTATGCGCTTAGAATTTTGTTAACGGAGACAGATGAGGAGAAATCTGTCAAAACATGTCACACACGAATCCGTTTCTCCTTGTTTCACCTTCAAGTTTTAGGAGAATGTGTTTTATACATGGCAACCAATCACGTTCTCTCACAGACACACCCATGCACAAAAGCACACAATGATTCACACTCTCACATTGGTATTCCGTTCCGAGCAGCACTACAGAACCACCAAACCTCCATCGGCATGATCACATTTCTCTGCAAATAGCTCTGCCATGCATCATCTAGTGACAGCAAACCTGTGCCAAACCCGATGCTAAGTGCATCTGAATTAGTGTGAAAGGCTGTGGAGATCTGCACGTCTGAGTGGGCATTAAGTGACAACGAGACAGAGTGAGTGAACGACCAAGGGAGATGGAGACAGAAATCTGGTGTGTGGAGTTTGTAACTAGTGAGGAAAAATGACCTGCTGTGTGACACTGATGTGGAAGAACTCCGATCACAACACCAGCGCAACAATCTATTTGCTGGAAATGTTTGAAACATCTGTTTCCGTGCCACTTTATGATGCAATCCGAGCTTGAAAATCATGTATGTGGAACCTCGAAAGCGGAACGCCCCCTTCACGTTGTGCGGTGTGAAATGTTAAGTTACCTCGCACAAAAACAACATAAAATGCGATGTCCATTCAGACTAATTTTAAGGATTAACAAAGTGCCTTTTCTGAAACTGACCTTCTTTGATGTGGGAACGAGGTATGGGGATTAGCGACATTAAGTGAACGATAGCAATACTGGAACAAAAGGAATGGAAAACCTCTCACTTGTGAAACACAAGCAGGTATTTCTTTAAGTGAGCGAGAAGTGCAAGTGCAGATTTACCATGTTTACATTTTGCTGTTCAGCTTTTGTTAACTTTTTTTTGTAAAATTATGCAAAATTATGCAAATTATCATACAAGCGACGGTAAACTGAAGATGATCATTTGACCAAGGAACAAATTTAGTGATTTCTTTAATTACTATTAATTATCCATCCATCCATTTTCCGATCCGTTTTATCCTCACAAGAGTCACGGGGCGTGCTGGAGTTTATCCCAGGCGTCTTCGGGCAGTTGGGCAGGGGACACCCTGAACTGGTTGCCAGCCACTCACATCGATGAACAACCATCCACGCTCACACTCACACCGAGGGACAATTTAGAGTGTTCAATCAGCCTGCCATGCATGTTTTTGGAATGTGGGAGGAAACTCCACACAGGAAGGCCGGAGCCGGAATTGAACCCGGTACCTCTGCACTGTGAAGTCGACGCGCTAACCACTCGACCAGCGGGCCATCCTAGTATTAACACGTTTTCTAAATTCAAAACAAGATGGTGGTGGAAAGAAGGTTGGTTATTTTTCCAAGGATCACTGTCCTCACTGTGTTAGTTGCAAGCAGAAATATCACACAGGTTGACCATTCATGTTCATGATTTTCCAAACAGATTGGGGAAGACAAATCACCCCGAACTACATCACCGAATAATTGCGAAATCAGTGAATCAGCCCTTTGCTGATTTTAACCCTTTCGTGTACCCTGTAACCCGATAACATGATAAGCTGTCCACAGTAGTAACTGCTGTCTCTGAAAGGGTTAATGGCATGAATGCCGACCTGATTATGGGTATGGACGTGCCCCGCTTTCATTGGCATTTTGACAAAGTACAACATTGGAATTTATTTCGACAACCAAAGGGGTTTTACTCTACCTGCAATGGTTTGGCGTTGAGACAGTTCTTCCAGACCTCGGCTTCCACTGTAACCTACTGGCGTTCACTTGGAGAGGAAATGCTCACCACGTCTCCTCCAGACTCATTTTCTGTATTGAAGGAAGAAGAAGGAGAACATACATCATTAAAATCATTTTCACAACAACCACATTCACAAGAGGCATCTGATATTTCCTCCTCTCCTTTGACTCCCGCTCATGAATAATCATATAGCATCAGCTATGCGGCGCACGCCGCAGCCAATGCAGATTTCTACCAGAGAGACGACCGCTTGTCATGTGCGATCGGCTTCGGCAGCATGGGGTAATTAGCTAGATCTATCATCTTCCGCAGGAAGTGAGGGACAAATATAGCTAATGATCCGTGCCTGCCTCCATGATTCCTCTGCTTGGCTCTACATCCTTTGCAAAGTTACAGAAGAGGAAAGGGGGGGCGCGGGGGGTAAGGAAAAGAGGTCCCTCTCTGTCAAAAAAAGGTCAAATGTGTCACCAGGAAATGAAGAGAGAGATAGGAAAGGCTATAGAGGAGTCGCGCAAAAATTGCCTCCCTGTCTGTCTTGTTGCCTCAGATGCGGCTAATTGAAAGAATGTATTGAGGGAAAGCAGATGTTGTGCAGACAAACAAATTACAGACACATTTTGGGAAGCTGCAGACACACACACACACACTTACACACACTTACACACACACACACACACACACACACACACACACACACACACACACACACACACACACACACACACCCACACGCACACTGCCATTCGCAGCTCATCTCAAATCAGATCTGAAGAAAACAATTATTGGTCCTTTGGGACAAACACAACCGTGGGCAAGCAGGGGTTGTGCAGAGTCTCTGTTGTGTGTTATGTAAAAAAAAAAAAAAAAAAAAAAAAAAAAGACATTGGCAGTTCGATGCTTAAGTGGACATTAGTTTGGACCAGCAGGGTTCTTATCGCTGTTTGTCGTCACTAAAAAGCGCATGCAGAAACATTTGCTGTTGTCACTTTTTGGCATGTCCCTTTGCCTTGCGAATTTTAATGACTCAATCCAACAACAGTAACCACTGTTCAATAAGAGATAACAGTAATAATGAGATAATATAATGTAATAAGATGGTAAGTTCATGAAGAGAGAACATTGTTATTGTGTGTGTTTGCCTGCAATACATAATAGAGCACATTATTCATGAATCAAAAATATTGGACAAATTTATGCTTCCAGCTTTGTGGGAGCACTTAGGGGAAGGCCCTTCTTTTTCTTTTTTCGTTCCAGCATAGCTGTATTCTAATGCGCAAAGCATTTTTCCAGTGCATTGTTGGGTGAGTTTGGAGAAAAAGAAGTCAAATACTAGACCTGAACTGGTTTGGGATGAACTATACAGGAGAGATAATAAACCAGGTCTCCACCAGAGGTCTAATCTAGATGTCCTCCAATTTCACGAATAAATGGAAAAAAATTCACACGCACACGTGCACGTACAAACACAAATCTTGTAAAACAGGGGTGCCCAAGTCCGGAACTGATCATTTGAATCAGGTGTGATAGGAGAGGCAGAGATCTAAATGAGGCTGGATTGGGGCTCTGGAGGATCGGACCCAGGCACCTTTTACTCTATTATGAGTACAAAACGAAGACAAGCTCCATATATTCTCCCTCACACTTTTGTAGGCTTACAGACATGTGTCTTAATACTTTTGTCCAAAGTGTGACATCTGTGGCTTATCCATGTTTCTAACACTCCTCTCTTCTCTTACAGGGCACAGGCATCCTGGCCTCTCGGTCATTATAATCAGCGGTGGCTCTGTCCTCTGATGAAGGTCTTCATGTGGGGGCTGATGACAAATCACAGCTCTCTGACTCTTAATCAGGACACATCCCACATTCCCTTGGTGTTTTTGTGTGCATGTGTGAGGAAAAAAAAGCGTGTGGGGGGGGGGGCTTTCAACAAAAGAAGAGCGACTGAAAGAAAGACAATGGAAATGCATACAATACAACCTGCCGCAGCTTGTATGCAATACGTGGAAGGTATTCTGGTCATGGAGTTGGGGCGCCTGCGTGCTAGTTTCAGAACCAAGGACAGCGACAGTCACAGGCACAGAGGAAATAATAGACCTCCAACTGCAATGGGGGCACACCCACAGAGAACACGCACACGCGCGTATATACCCCCCCCCCCACACACACAATTCTTCCAACACAGACGCCTGTAGACACGCATTGCACAACGCTATTCACAGCCTTTCCTTTTGTTGCAAAGAAAAGCATGATCGTACAAGAGTGTGAATGTGGTCGTGCATCTCAGTGAGCATTCCGTGTCTGCCCTTCACTGGCCTCCTATATCTATCAAAGCCAGGAAACACACCACAAATAGCCGGGAAAGACTGGCTGCTCACTCCGTCGTCCACAAACATTCCACTAACGCAACAATGAAAACCCTTTTGTAAGGGTAGACTTGGCGCGCTATGTGCGGGGAGATGTGATGTCTGCCGTCACATTTCCTGTGACACATATTGTACATGACAGGAGTTTAAAACACCCCCAACACATAAACTCACAGAACGCATCCCCATTATTTAAATAAAACACACATACGACACTTGAGGACAATGGGCCACGCAGTAATGCTTTATTCATGTGAGGTGTATGCACACACACACACACACACACACACACACACACACACACACACACACACACACACACACACACACACACACACACACACACACACACACACACACACAAAAACTAAACCTCGTCTCCCAAGCTCTGATCGAGACTGTAGCTGCCTGACCTACATTCTAGCAGATATGTATACAGGCAGAGAGGAGATGGAATCTCTCTCTGTGTTCTATATCCTGTGTTCTCTTTGTGCAATACTCACACACACACACACACACACACACACACACACACACACACACACACACACACACACACACACACTTTGAAATGATTCCTTCGCCTGAATGTCATCATGTTCCACATGAAACTGGCAATTTTCAGAGCACTTGGATGTTTGATGGATTTCTGGCCAAGTCGAGGGTCAGACCGGCGTATCTCTCTGTGTTGCATATCAAAGATCTGCTGAGTGTTGTGCATGTCAGTCTGAGACAAAGATCAACGAAGACAGAGGAAAATGTGTGATAGCGTTTATAGCATGTCACGTGTGCAAATCCAATGACATCATTTTCACCTGTTTCTCTTTATGGACACCTTCAGGTTTTTGTCTTCACAATTGTATTGTTTCAGTCAATAAGTCAACCAGACTGTACTGCAAGAATCAACTGAAATAAGAGACAAAGAATAAATGCAAGATTTTTGTCCCACTCAAACCCGAAACATGTTCTCCTAAGGCAGTGAAAAAGCAGAGCTGGATAGAGGAAAGGTCAATTACCATGATTCATGCTTTGCCTATGTTGGGGCGATCTCTCCTCTTGGATTGTTTGCTCAGAATTCCCAACACAGGGGCATATCAAAATGAAAAGTGTTTCCTACTGTACAAATAGTGCTAGAACAGAAACTAACAACAACAACAAAAATCAAAACATCAGCCTCATGGAAACTTTTCTGTTTGCGGGAACATGTCACCTATTCTGAGCAAAATCTTCAATAATTGGGCTCATCTAAGTCTAAAAATCTGGAAACAGTGCATCTACAAAATCATCCCCAACTCTTCCAGATTTGCACGTTTTCATGGTCCTGCCTTATTGTAAACAGGAATACATTCATTTTATATATACATATGCCGATACATTTTCATATGCTTAATATGATGCCGCAAGTTTGACACATACGAGGAGTTTTGCCAATTCCTCTTTGCCGCTGCTCTCGAGCTGCACCAGGTTGGATGGAGTTGATTCCAGCGGAATCTCTAACAACATGACCGTTGTGTTCTTGCTCAGCTCTCCGAGTGAGGTTCTCTACACTGATCATTCCGTTTAGACAAGTGACAAGCAAAACGTGTTCTGAACTCTTCCCTGGATGTGTGCCTCAAAGCAGTCCTCTCTCCGAAGTTTACAGACAACTCCTTTGACTTCATAGTTGGTCGTCTGTGAGACAGTTTGGTGCCTCTCCAAATCATCAAACAGGATTCCCTTGACCTTCATGGATTTCGCTTCAGGGCAAAGGCTGTGAATACGTACACGAAGTACATGCGAGTTCTTAGTGTACGTCTCAGAGATTTGCTAAAACCCCAAAAAAACATGTATAAATGATACAACCTAGAAAAAAAAGCAATGCCTTTTTGCAATAAGTGTGGTGAAGAGTAGTTTGGGTGCAGGATACATCCCAATTGGAATCCTGCAGGCTGGCAGGGGCATTCACACAAGTGAGTAAATTGGGATGCGTTTTACTGTACCACATTTACATGTATGTTTTTCAAATCAGTGCTTAGACAAATATTATTAATGCATTAATTATTTGATACTGAACCTACAAGAACATCCACCCATCCATCTGTTTTCTAATCCGCTTATCCTCACAAGAGTTGGGGGTGTGCTTGAGGCTGTCTTCGGGCAGTAGGCAGGGGACACCCTGAACTGGTTACCGGCCAATCACAGGGCACACATAAAACGAACAACCATGTGCACTCACAATCACACTTGAGGAAGAATTTAGAATGTTCCGTTAACCTGCCATGCATGTTTTTGGAATGTGGGAGGAAACCGGAGCACCCGGAGAAACCCCACGCAGGCACAGGGAGAACATGCAAACTCCACACAGGAACGCCGGAGCCGGAATTGAACCCTGCACCTCTGTGCAGTGAGGTGGACGTGCTAACCAGTCGACCACCATGTCACCCCTATGAGAACATACTTAAATATATATCCTGTACATATAAGTAATCAGATTATTCTCGGCACCTCTTTGAGCGACGCAGTGCGTTATGACACTAGAGATGAAGAACATCGATATTGGCCCACTTCCACGATTAAATGACAAAGTTTTACTTGTTTCTTTTGATGTCATGACAATGTTTCCTGCCCCCTCAGTCTCTTGATTTTCCTTTTCCAGGCCACACATTTTTTATAATAACGAGCTCAAGCTGTGGAAAGATAGTCCAGCTCGGGTTCAATGAGAGGAT